AAGTTCTCCATCTTCTAATCCTAGCCACTCAACTTGGAATCCTCTATGTCTCAGCATGAGCCCTTTTCTTGAGCTTAACCACTCTGCTCACTGCCCTTGACTCTATCTCAGACACTGTTCTCTCCACACTCCTGCCCAGACTCCAAACAGAAATACTACTTACCCATCTATTCAACTCATATTGATTAAGCAAGTACTTGAGATAAGCCAGTCACTGTTCCAGCCACTGTCCTCCACCTGTGCTCCTTCCACTTCTTTCTTTCCTCTTTTCCTTCTTTTCTTTTCTTGTCCTCATGGACAAGTTGACCTTGACCATTCAGACCCTTGTGACTCTAATAATAATATGGGCACTAATAACCCATATTTTAGCACCTCATCACTGGCATTATTAACCTATAAGCAGATATTACACATACGTAGATTTTACAGAAAATGGACTTTTAAAGAACCAGCACTTAACATTTCAAACATTTTGGATGGAAATCTAATTTTTTTTCAACATCTTCCCTGTCTTCTTAAATAGAGTACTATCTACAGAATATCCATCTAACTTTTATAACTCAGGGTCATCAGTATTCTGTGATGTGATAATGTACCAAGAGGAGTAACTGGTAAAAGGAAAGGGCATGAGTTTTGGAGTTAAACAGTCTTTGCAATGACCCCCCTTTGGGGTCCCTGGGGTCTCCTGAGGTCACCTCCTGCTCTCTTTTAATGTTTCTAACCTACAGTGGACTTAGGAATCAGACAACAAAGTTTATAGAAATATTTGTAAACTATATGTAAACAGTGTCTTAAGTGAGGGCATGAGAGATTCTCCTATGTATAAAGTCTGTTTGCTTTGGTTTTTTTAAATTTTTATTTATTTTTGGCTGCATTGGGTCTTCATTGCTGCACGCGGGCTTTCTCTAGTTGCAGCGACCTGGGGCTACTCTTCATTGCAGTGCGTGGGCTTCTCATTGCAGTGGCTTCTCTTGTTGCGGAGCATGGGCATTAGGTGCTCAGGCTTCAGTAGCTATGGCACGTGAGCTCAGTAGTTGTGATTCGCGGGCTCTAGAGCGAAGGCCCAGTAGATGTGGCACACGAGCTTAGTTGCTCCGCGGCATGTGGGATCTTCCCAGGTTCGAACCCCTGTGCCCTGCATTGGTAGGTGGATTCTTAACCACTGCACCACCGGGGAAGTCCCAAAGTCTATCTGTTTTAAAGCATAAATTTATGCAATCTATTCAGTTGATCAGAGGCCTTTCTCACTTAACTCCTGTTTTTCAGGTGTATTCAGAATTCTTGAGGCTGGATAAGTGACTTCGTAAAAAGTGTGCCAATAGTGCATTTAGCATTTTATATATTCTTTTGTTGTTAACTAACTAACTATTATGTGCACATGTCATAACTTGCCAATTAGATTACATTCCAATTAGATTATTTCCTGATTAGATTATTAATTTCCCAGGACAAGTGGTATTTTATAGCCATTCATTCATTTGCTAAGTCGTTTTCAAAATGGCTACTATGTGGAAAGACCTGTGATAGAAAAGAGATAAAGATTTAGCATTTACACATTATCGAGGAGACAAAATAACCAATACACGGTAGAAGGTGAACATAAAAATCCAGAGAATTCAAATGAGGAGAAGAGAATGTTTTCTCGTTGGGAGAACTGGAGAAGGCTTTATAGAGACAGCATTTGTGTTGGACCTTGGTAGCAGGAAGAACTTTAGTGGGTAGCATTTCAGGGTTTGGGAAATCTGCAAGAATAGGCAGGAAGGGAGAGAGATATATGCGTGAATTTGTGGAATTACAGTCACGCTGCTGTCTTGAGAGCACCCAGTACATAGTACCCCCTTTCCCCAACTGACTTAGGCACAAATGATAAGACCAAGGAGTGGCAGATGGAGCCCCCAATATTACCCTTTCTACTGATTAAGGTTAAGCCAGAGTCTAGGCAAGAGTTTGGTAAGCCTGCTAACCGAACCCTAGGTTAAGGCTGACCCACTTTGTGACAGGTAACGGGAGCCGGGTTATACAATCATTCAGTTCCTGAGAAGTTTTCCAACTCATCTTTTATTTTTATTTTTATTTATTTATTTATTTATTTTAATATATATTTTATTTATCGATCTATTTTGGCTGCATTGGGTCCCCGCCGCTGCGCGCTGGCCTTCTCTAGTTGTGGCGAGCAGGGGCCACTCCTCGTTGCTGTGCGCGGGCCTCTCACCGCGGTGGCCTCCCTCGCTGCAGAGCACGGGCTCCAGGCACACAGGCTTCAGCAGTCGCGGCATGCGGGCCCAGCAGTTGTGGCACACAGACCGAAGAGCGCAGGCTCAGTAGTTGGGGCGCACGGGCCCAGTTGCTCCGCGGCATGTGGGATCCTCCCGGACCAGGGCCCGAGCCCGTGTCCCCTGCACTGGCAGGCGGACTCCAACCACTGTGCCACCAGGGAAGTCCCCCAACTCATCTTTTAAACTCAAACACTTGAGATTGTCGGATAAAAACAAACAGTAGATGGCATTTAAAGTAGATGGAATTTATTATCTTAAAAAAGGGTTTATTTTGCACTAACTCTCTTTCCCACAAAAGCACCACATGGTAAGGTAGATATAATACACTGAAGTGTAATAAAATCACTTTTCATGAAAATCCATTGAGGATCTGTAGATCTCATGGGGTCTATTCAGTAATATCATAACTACAATTGGAAAACCCTGGCCTGTTATAACTTTGAAGGGTCTACACTTTAAAGGTGAAAGAGACATGATTTTATAAAACTCTACATTTCTGCACCTGAGCACTGATTCAGGTGGACAATGGGCTTTACCCTTAGGAAGCTGGCTGCCCTCAGGAGACAGGTAAGAGGCTGGCGAGGGGGAGGGTCAGACGCCTTACACGGCCAAGAGTGAGCAGTAAGCCTGGTGGCCGGATGGGGCTGCACAAAGATCACCTACATTGAACATATAATGTCCTCAAGAAATGCAATATATATGGGAGAGAGAATGGGAACTAGGGAGGATGGGGAAGAGGGGGTGAGGGAAGAGTGAGGGCTTTGGGGGCTAAACTTCCGTAACTAAGGCTAGTTCAGTGTGGGTATGTTTCCCCACCCCACTGCCCACACTACCTCATTATACACCACCTCTACTGGGCAGCGCTGCCATGTAAGCTGCTTTGGGTCCCAGCCAGACTCCAGACTCTCCACATGGATCCCTAGCCCTATTCACCCACACAAGACAACTAGGTAAGAAGAGTGTAAATATTCACATGAATAGTTGGCAACTGTTCAGTGTCTACTGGACACCAGCCACTTTTCATAATCCTCACCGCTGTCCTGCAAAGGCTGGCTTTATCTTCCTCTCTGCTTTTCAGACAGGGAAACAAAGACTTAGAAGCAGACCTGGTTGAATCAGGATTGGAACCTGGGGCTGCCTGCCTTCAGGGGTGTGCTCTTCTAGTAGCTTCTAGGATACTAGGGCTGGGGGGCAGTGATCACGCTGTTAAAGGCAGGAGGAGGGGTAGGGTCGGCTTTGGGGGCCTATAGGGGGTCTGGGATTGCATGGTTATATGTGGGGTCATTTCCTGAGCTGCATGTGAGTTTAAGTGTGAGTGTGTATGTGGGTTGAGGTGTGGGTATATATGGACATTTGTGGGCTGGTTCTTGGAATATGTGTATTTGAGTGTGTTTGTGTGTGTGTGTGTAGGGGGTTAGTACCTGGGCTGCTGGGCAAATGTGTTTTGGGTCTCCAGTGGGGGCAGACAGGCTTGAATTTTGTGCATGATTGTGAGTCTGTGTATGCATGAGTGTGTACGCTTGAGCGTGCGAGTATGTTGGGGTGCTGGGGGGGTTAATCCCTGACCATGTGTTTGTGATGTGTGGATGAGTGTGTGTGTGTGTGTGTGTGTGTGTGTGTGGTCAGCCCCTAGGGTCTGTGGGGGTACGAGTGTGCCTGCATGGGTGTGTGTGTGTGTTTGAGTGTGTGTGTGTGTGTCCGGGGCGCGTTGAGCCTGGGGATTGCGGGGAGACGCCGGCGGGCCCCGCCCTGCACTGCAGGTGGGCCGGGC